TATTAAAAAAGTAAAATCGAAAACGAAAGTAAATTGTAAAACGCTTATCGCGATACTTTATTAAATGTTTAGCATAATCTTTTATATTAACTTTTCGAAATCGTTAAGTATAAAAATCGCTTGCGCCGATAAAAAAAAGTATAAGAAAAGTTAAACTAAAGAGCTTTTAATTAAGCTTTAGCTTAAAGATTAAAATAAACCGCTAGCTTAAAGCAAAAGTAAAAATATACTGCTTCGATGCAAGTTTATTAACTTAAGTAAAAAGCTAATTAGATTCCGTAGTATTTAAATTCAAATCGAAAACTATAGTCTTTAAAAAAAAACGCTTTTAATTATCAAGTAAATTATTATTAGCATTTAAATGATCTTTTATATTAAGTAAAGCATCTTTATCGTTTGCAAAAGCTTTATCTTCGCTCGAATTTTCTTTAAGATTACCGCGAGCTTTTTAGCGCAAGCGGCGTCGTTATTATACCGATAACTTTATAATTAAAGCCGTTGTGCTTAATAAAAGCTGTTTAAGTTTTTCGTCTTTAATAATTATAACTCGTCTTTTTATATTTTTATCTACGAGCAAAGAATCTATTAGATCTTAGTTTATATTAATATTAATATACTTAAGATTATTTGCTTTTAAGAAAGTAAGCTAAATATAGATCGCAAAGCGCTAAACTCGGCATTCTTTTTTAAACTGCTTGCTAATTCGAAAGTCTTTATTAAAACTCTTAAGCTTAAGAATAATTACGTTAACTTTTTTAAAAAGCAAAAAAAGGTTTTTAAAGAACTTAGCGTTATTAAAAGCAAAAGTTATTACGTAGCTCGAATACTTATATTAATAGCCGCGGTAGCGCTAAAGCGATATATTAATATATAACGATAAGATCAACGCTTTTTTTAATACCGAAAGTTTTAACAAGTAGTCCGGTACTTTATTTAAGTTTATATTATTACGAGTTGTTATAAGATAAAGCTATTTAAAAAGATCCGGTTTTTTAATAGATTTATTACGGTAGTTACACTCGTAATAAATAATATCGCCGCGGATTACTTTTAATCTTATTTCGAACTATTTTTTATTATAGCGAAAGCAAAGGTTTATTTAAATAGCTTTTATAATCGAATGAAAATCTTAAATCATCTTTTATTTTTTTTTATTAACCGCCGGCTTGTACTCGGCTAAAGTAATATACGATTATAATATATTTAAAAGAAAAATAAACTTTTAGAATTAAAACGTACGACGGCGTTTTTATTCGGCTTAAATAGCTTCTTTAGCAGCTTTTCGTTTATCTTTTTGCTATATACGGTTCTTTCGTTCGATATTAACTTAAATCCTTCGAGCTTTACGTATCTTACGATTTTGTTTTAAGTCGTTTAAGCGATAGCCGGTAACTTTTAAGTCGGATCCGGAATCAAAAGAAAACATTTAACGGTTCGAAGAGTTCCGTGAAACGCTAAACGATTATAAAAGAAATAAATTAAAAATTTGTTTTTTAAAACGGTTACGACGCAATTACAATTCTAATAAAATGCAAATAATAAGTTTTTTTAAACGACCTTTTCGCTTTTTTATTAAAAAAGATAAAAACGAAAATAAGAGTTTATTATCTTTAAAGTCTTCTTTTTAATTATTGTCTCGCTATAATTAATAAGACGGTAGCAAAGTATTAAAAACCTTTTTAAAAGAAGACGTGTTATCTATATTAAATATATTAAATAAAAGCAAAGTGTATAAAATTAAAACGATAAGCTTAAATCGCAAATTAAAAGAACTTAAGTAATATTAATAATTTTAATAATTTAAATAACTCGAGTAACTTTTATAACTTTAATAACTTAAGTAATATACTTAAACCACTTAAGCTTTTTTAAAAAGCTTTAGATTCTGCTGCAAATCTAATGCGCCGATTCAAAAGAAGTAAGCCTTAACAAATTAATAACTTTAGTAACTTTAATAACTTTAATAACTTTAATAACTTTAATAACTTTAATAACTTAATTAAAAAGGCTTACTTATGCTATTTTACGGCGGCTTACGTATAGAACCGTATAAACCTTTAACAAAACCCGAATCTTATACGCGTTAAGCCGTATAATCGAAACCTTAATAACTTTAATAACTTTAATAACTTTAATAACTTTAATAACTTTAATAACTTAATTAAAAAGACTTACTTATGCTATTACTTGTGCTATTACTTATACTACCACTTATACTACTTATCTTACCACTTAAAGTAAGCTTACGTATAAAATCATTGTATATATGTTTATTAAAACTTAAATCTTAAGTGCGCTAAGCCGTAGAATTGAAACTTTAATAACTTTAATAACTTTAATAACTTTAATAACTTAGCTAGAATGACTTACTTATACTACTACTTGTATTACTTATCTTATCACTTCGAGCAAGCTTACGCGTAAAATCATCGTATATAATAATATATTTATTAAAACTTAAATCTTAAAAGCGTTAAACCGTATAATCGAAACCTTAATAACTTTAATAACTTTAGTAACTTTAGTAACTTGGCTAGAAAGACTTACTTATGCTATTACTTATGCTATTACTTATACTATCACTTATATTACTTATTTTATTACTTAAAGCAAGCTTACGTATAAAATCACCGTATGTATATTTATTAAAACTTAAATCTTAAGTGCGCTAAGCCGTAAAATTAAAACTTTAATAACTTTAATAATTTTAATAACTCTGGTAATTTAGCTAAAAGGACTTACTTATACTATTATTTATGCTATTACTTATGTTATTACTTATACTACTTATTCTATTACTTCGAGCAAGCTTACGCGTAGAACTAATATATCGTCGTAATAATAATAAAAGCGAGCTAAATTAAAGCGCAAGATTGCGTAATATTAAAAAAGAAGATTTAAGCTTGTATTTACAAAAAATATATTGCGATAAGTAAAAGTAATCGAGCTTAAATAAAGAATATCGTAATAAGCGCTACGATTTCCGAAAAGAAGCTCGTAATAAAGAAGCTGCAATTAAAGCGCGTCGAAGTCGACTTCGAAGTCTTTTTGTTAACTAGCTATTATTAAAAAAAAGAGTATGTTTCGATTTAAAAAGAAATAGCTTAATATTATTCTTATTTTTATAACTTTTGCAAGTAACGAATACTTTGCTTTGATCGTCGTTTTAAAATAATAAAAGAAGTTGAAAAACATCTTTTAGCAAGCATTTGCGATTAATATAAAGTTTCGTTTTTATATTATAATAAAATTAGTTATTAAGAAAGTCAAGTTATTGATTACGCGTAAGTGTTGAAAAAGTTAAGTTGTTAATTACGCGTAAGTATATCAAAGTGACGCGACGATATATGCAGCAGAATTAATAGCGGTGATTAAATTAAGCTTAACGGTGTTTTATATTTAATTCAAGCCGACCCGTTTTAAAAAAAGTTCAATAGATTGATATAAAATAAAAGTCTTAACACGCTTAAAAATCTTATTAAACCGGTATAAAATAATCTTACGTAATTAGATGACTAACTACTATTACAACCTTTAGATTACTTATTATTATTATAACCTTTAAATTACTTATTACTACTATAACCTTTGGATTACTTATTACTACCATAACTACTGGAATTTATCTTGGGTCACCGTTAGTAACAATAAAAGTTACAAAAGTTACAGAAGTTACAAAGGTTATAATTGATTCGGCCTAATTAAACGTATAATCTAAATACATTGTTTACCCTTAATCAATTGCCAATAACTATAAAACCTCTTTTGATAATAAACTATTCTTATACATCTTATAATTCGTTAAGCTTATACTTTTTTATAGTTATTAATTGTTGCACAGTGTGGTCCTTGCCTCACGTGCTCCTCACGTGGCCTAGCACGTGCTCCCTTGCACGTGCCTGCCAAGCTCCTTAGAGGCCACGTACCATATGTACATATCTATAGTTGCTCCCGTGCTCCCTTGAATATACCAGACACTTCTATCGCTATCTCTTAGACCTTGATCTGCTCTACCTACTTAAGTATACGCCTTCTGTCACTATAGTTAAGAGCCACACGCCTTTACGAGCTCCTTTTAATTATCATCAATACGGTACAGACTGCCTCGGTGGTTGCAGGATTATCGTCTTCTTTCTTTTCGGTCGGTAGAAGTTGTTCTCCCTTCTGACGCTCGGAGCGTCCAGTAAGAGCTTTTCAAACCTCATTTTTTACCTTATTTTACACTCCACTTCAAGCTATTCTACGACATGTTACTTCAAAGCGCTCAACACCTTACGGACCGAGCGTCATAGGTCGATTGGTTTATCGATTACAAGGCCGTTGCGATGATGAAAGGCGTTTGGAAGCTTGCAGACCCTTATTCGAAGGAAACCCAGCCTTACATCCCTTTTTTAGAACCGCCGGCACTACTTACGATTGACGACCTGATCGTCAGAGAGAACGAGCGGAAGGATAATCTTATAAAGGAATGGGAAGAGGCGCCTTTAGCTACTCGTGGAGACCGCTTAATGCTAGGAGGTGCGAGTTTCCAGGACGTCAAGGAGGAGTTTGCATATCGGTCGAGAGAATACTCTGGGAAGGAGGCGCGCTGGAGCGCCTTGAACTCTAAATACTAGTACATGCTAGAATGGGTGAATCAGACGGTCCTAAAGGAGCTGCTGCAGCCCTATAAGACTCGTCTGATTAAGGAAGAAGAGTTTTCACTCTAAACGCTGATGAGGTCTTTACGGGACTAGTACGCGGAGGACGACGAATCGACGAGGGAGCATGTGCGAGACGAGTACCGTCGAATACTCAACGAAGGAGCTGCGGGGACCATTGAACCTCAATAATAGATTCGAAATTGGGAGCTCGTGCACTCTAAGGCTGTCGCTTTGGAGCCCGAATTGCAAGATGTTGTCGGTTCTCTTGCTATAAAAGATTTCTTAAGAGTAATTGCTCAAAGGTTGGACCTTGCTTAAGGCAGTCGACACTTGGGTCTTGTGGTCGACGCTATCAGTATGAGGGAAGCTTCCAAGTTGAAAAGCTTGAGAGACTACGCAAAGATGTTTAAAAGGCATTTACAGCAAAGAGGAGCTCGTGAGGGTGTGTTCGCCATACTCAACGAGCTCTTAAAAGGAAAGGTTTGCCTTTGCATGCGTACTCACTTTTGGCAGCCTTCTTCTTGCGACCTATTGAGGCTTGCTTCTACTGGTCAAAACCCTAGGAATCTCATAGTGTCGGAGCCAAAGTTTCAAGCTATTAGAGAGCGATTCTCTATGCCTAGCTACGAAAAGCTGAAAGCGAGCTTGGAGCTCTTATGGAAGGAGAATGGAGCTTCTACTAGCGAAGGCAGGTCCAAATACCTTAGAAGTGTAGCTGCCTAAGAAAGGCCACCTAAGAGCAGGTTTATAAGGGATGTTGGAACCGCTCGCGCACGCCGGAAGAGTGAATTGGGCCGTAGCCTTAGCGCTGCTAAAGGCTTATTGAAGCTTGGAAACCGTGTGGAGCTTGCGAGGGGGAGGTGTAGTGTGAGGAATTAGGACGCCTGCCTCAACTACAAGTTATTTGTATATTTGAGTCGCTCTTAGGGAGTAGAGGTTTAAGTTGGCGAGTCTTTGCGACGGCAAGCGGACCCACCTTGCACTTTGCCTTGAGGACTATTAGCTGCTGCCACTTTAAAGGATGCTCGTTGCAGCTTACTGGCGCTGGCGTGCTCTTATTTCGTCTGCCCTTTGTCTGGGAGCTTATGAGCTCCGTTCATCTTTTGGCTAGATTTTCCTTAGGTTTTTTCGTTTGTTTTTTCCTTCTTTCTTTAGGCGAGCCTTTTGTCAGTTGAGCAGTCGCTTCGCAACTAGGGGGTGTGTTGCACAGTGTGGTCCTTGCCTTACGTGCTCCTTACGTGGCCTAGCACGTGCTCTTTTGCACGTGCTTGCTAAGCTCTTTAGAGGCCACGTACTACATGTACATATCTACAGTTGCTCCCGTGCTCCCTTGAATATACTAGACACTTCTATCGCCATCTCTTAGACCTTGATCTGCTCCACTTACTTAGGTATACGCCCTCTGTCACCATATTAATCGGTAAGACTTAAGCTCGATCTGTTTATAAGCTTTCAAACTTTGCAATGCTTTTTTTACCCGCTTATCTGATATCTATAAGCGCTAAAAAGTGCGCTTGCTACGATAATTATAATAAGTATATAAGTTGTCGAGCTCTTTTTACAAGAATATACTTAAACAGCTTTAATAAAGTTCGTTCGTTAATTTAATTATATATTCCGATATTATTATATCTACTAAGTTGCTAACTAAACCTTTTCGAGCTGTATCTCGAATAAAGTATTCTTTAGCTAGCTTGTTGCGTCGTTAATAATAGCAATTTAAGCAAGTAGTAAATCGCAGATTAATATTCAAGATAAAGAAGTATAATAATAAGCGAAAGCTGTTGCACTTAGTATATTCGATTTTAATAAGTCTTTTAAGTAGCTAAGCAAGTGCGAAAGGCGCAAGACGCGATAAAGATTGATAAATCGTATTTATGCTTAGCTTAAAAGTCGAAAAGAATAAAAGAAAAAGCAAATCTAACGCTAATTTTAATGCTTTTACTTTAGCTTTGATTTTATTAAATTGCTCGATCTACTTAAATGCGCGGTATACTTCGAGATCGTCGTATATTTTCTTGTCTTTATACGTCGTGTATATAAACTTAAAAAGATCCGTAAGTATAATATCTTAGCCTTTTTCTTTACTTACTTCGCTTTATTATTTGCTTTAAGCATTATCTTATGTTTTATTATTGCTTTAAGTATTATCTTGTGTCTTATTATTGCTTTAAGCATTATTATTAGTTTGTTAGCTGCTTTAAGCATCGATAAATCTTTTAAAGTTAATCTTACTTATAATGCGGATCATCTCGTCGTTACTACCGAAAAGATTAAGTGACTTATATCGCTAGCGTAATAAGCTAGATAATAGTGCTATAAAGGCGCGTAATAGAGTTACGTAATAAAAGTCGTTTAATAAAAGAATTTTTGCTAATAGTATAATAGCTTTTTTTTCTTTTTTTTAATGTTTCTTTCTTTTTTAATATCGTTTTCTTCTTTAATCTTTTTTTCTTTAATCTCTTTTTTTTTAATCTCTTTCTTTTTAATTTTTTTTTATTAATCTCTTTTTCTTTAATTTCCTTTTTATTAAGCTCTTCTTTTTCAATATAATTAATAGTATTTTGTGTTTTTTGCTTCGTATTTATAATAGCAATAAGAAAAGCGATGAATGATTTATTGCTATATGTTATTTGATTTCGGTATATCGTAAAAGCAAAGTATTTAGATGTAAGGAAATTATTATACTAAAGCTAAGTGTACGTGCAAATAAGCTTTTGTTTAAATTAAGCGAAGTACAAAAGCTTTTTATTAGTTCTTATAACTTTTATAACTTTAATAACTTTTATAACTTTTGTAACTTTTATAACTTTTATAACTTTTGTAACTTTTGCAACTTTTATAACTCTTATAGCTTATATAATATATATATATATTTATACGTTTTACAACCGCTATACAAGCTGACCTCGATACATATGATTTATATCCCGATCAATACTAGTACTAATAGACTTCTTTTTAAACCGATAAAAATCAAACACATTTTTAAATATAACTCTCGTTAAAGTCTTTACTTTAAAAGCTAAAATATAATATAACTTATAAGCAAACTCAGCCTTAGCTTAACTAATTATTACTTTGATCAAGGAAATTCCTTGACTTTTATATATTATAATTGCGTAAGCTACGCGGAAAAGCAGCTGCCGACGATTGCAAAGCTTATTATCGTAAAAAAAGTCTCGATTTACGATAAATATTAAGAACTATTTAGTATTTTCGAAAGTAAAACTAATATAATCTTCGATCTTTATTATAATGCTTTATAGCAGTTCTTTACGTAATTTAGCTTTTGCTTTTTAAAAAATATCTTTAACTATTCTTATAAACTTATTAATTATTCTTATTTTTATTTAAAGATTTTAATTTAATATCACTTTAGCTTTAATATATATATCAATGCTTTGCTTTAAGCTTTTAGCTTCTTTTTAATCAGCGTTATAAGCTTTCGCGCTGCTCGTATTCTTTGACTTAAGTTTTAAGATAAGCGCGTCTAGCTTTTTTAGCTGCTCGTAGTTGTATTCTTTAACTTTTGCGTTCGTAAAATAAATACGAAAAGCATTTTTAAAAAAATCTTTATTAGCCGGCCGGATATTCATTTTAGCTCGAGATATAAAAAGTTTTTAATTGTTTACCGAAAGGTTATCTTTTCAGAGTTTTAAAAGTGCTTTGCAGAAATTGATAGCTTTTAAAGACTCGCTTTTTTAACGCATAATAACTTTAAATCGAATAGTTTTATTAAATAATCGATAAAAAGATTGATCGATCTTTTGTTTTAACGAAAAGTTATAAGTTATAAATAAAGACTTCTTTTTAATTAGCGGTAATTAATAAAAATCATTATAAAAATAAATACTTAGACTTTTAAATAGCTTTTAAGATTTAAAGAAAATCTAAGCATAGCGTTTTTAAATTCGAGCGAAGTTTTTTAAATTAATTATTAACTTTTCATTAATAATTAAATACTTGCAATCTTTAAATTTCGCTTGAAAAGTCTAGAAAGTAATAAGAGAATTGTTTATAACATAGTGTTTGATTAATAGCGCTAATAAGAAATGTAATATAGCTCTTACAATACTAAAAGCAGCAATACTTGTAAGCGCTGCTCGGATAACTAAATTTAACTTACTAGCTTCGTTTGTTATATCTTAAAGCTAAACGCAAGTAGCTAAAATAAAGTAAGTTTTGCTCGTGCTAGCTTTACTATCGAGATGAATTAGCAGCTATAAAAGAAGTTGGTTTAATAATATTATAATATAATAATTTATTATAAAATAATAAAACCTCTTTTGCTTATCGGAAAGTCTTTTAAAGTTATAACTTCGAGTAGCGCTAACCCGTATATTAAACACTCTTGCAGCAGCTCTTTAATCTCGGATATAAGTTGATAAAATGTTGTATTTGCTAATATATAAATCTTAATTATAAGCTAGATTTTTAAGCTAGTTCGATATATCGTTTTCGTTTATAAGCATAATACGAAAGTTCCGAAAGTTACGCAAATTTTATTCTTTTTTTACGTTAATATTATTACGGTTTTAAAGCTTAAGCTTTTTTATATCGTATTTATCGTTTAAACTAGCTTTATTTGCTTCGTCAGTTATAAAAAGAAGATCGTAATAATCTAGCGAATATAAAGAATCGCTATAAAGATCTCGATAAAAGCGCTTGCACGCGCTATACGCAAAAGCAAATGTTATATGCTTTTTTTCGATAATATTAATAAATAGATCGCTTTTTATCCGATAAAAGTAATGCAATATTAAATAAGTACGCGAGTTGTGCTTATAATCGTTATAGACTTTAATATTTAAGTATTAAAAATAGTAATTAATAACTTAAAGCTTGCTTTTTCGTATAAAATTCTTTTTTTAATATGTATAGATATCGTATACTTTAAAGAAATTTAAAAGAGTAATATCTTTAATACGATTAAAGCGTTATCGATAACGCTAAAAGTTAAAAAGTTTAAGTTCTAATTTATTTTTATTTAACTTTACTTAATGCCTTTTATCTTTATTTAATTTACAATTTAAATTAATAAAGTTTCGAATAGATTTAATTAAACCGAGCTTAAAAAGCAAGTGATAAACCTTTTAAGCGTTATAATCTTTTTCTCTTAATAACTTATTAATTATCTTAAAAACTAGCGAAAGGGCCGGAGCCTTAGCATTGATGTGTTTTAATATTATATTAATAATATCTTTATAAGAGTCGGATTCTTTTTTATGCTTAAAGCAATACTTAAAAGCGTACTTTAAAAGACTTTTAAAGCTAAAGACAAGCTGTATATCCGTATTAGTTAACTAGCTTAATATAAAAACAAATAAAAAAAGGTTTTATAAAAGATAATTGCGCTAAGCGGCAAACTAATACTTTCGAAGATTTATTTTTCGATTATAATCAATTGTCGGCTATATAAAGCGCTTATAATAGAATCTGCAAAAAAAGACTTTTGTATCTTTGTTTTTACGTAAATAGTATTTAATTAAACAAACGTAATAGATTTGCATTTAATTAATTAACGTAATGAATTGATCGATCGTATTCTTAATTATATTAAAAAGTAAAAAGGTCGGGTTTTACAGATCTAGCAAACGAATCGTATTAAAGTTATAAGCGGTAATATAATCTTTTTAAAAGCTAACGAAGTTTAAATACGAAAGTAATCGTCTTTTTTAAAGTTTATATTAAGTTTAAGCTCGCCCGCATCGTTCGATTTACTTTTTAATTAAAATATACCGTAAATATAACTCGAGCTACGATCTTGCTACTCTTATCGCGCTTAAAAATCAATATACAGCAAATAATAACTTAAGATATCTTGCAAGAAAGCTTGCTAACGCATGTAAATATAATAAGCAATAATAACAAGGTTTTCTTAAATATTATTTTATATTATTTTAACTCGCTTAATTTAATTAACGGCTTTGTATTTATTATATTAAAAAAGATAGCGCTAAAAGTCTTTTTATTACATGTCCGCAATACTTTATATAAGAAAAGCTGTTATAGCGTTTAACTAAGACTTGGCTAATGCTTTTAATTGATAGCTTTGCTTTTTTTAAAAAAAACGAGTGTTATTAATAGCTTGCTTATAACGCACGATTT